TGGGGTCGCCAAGAGTCGGACATGACTGAGTGACTAAGCACACAGCACACATGCAATACCAGAGCTCCCTATTATTGGGATGATTCACTTAAGCATTAAATTTGCTTGTAGCAAACCAAGAACCCTAGAAATTACCTTATACATAACTAATTCAAAAATATTTCATAATATTATATCATCAGAAAAATGCCCATTTTTCAATATGTCCAAAGTCAAAAGAATAGTTTAAACAGCATGGCCTTTGTCAGAATCCTCAATTTCAGAGTTACTATGAGGTACCCAACCTTCAGCTAGGAGCTCTATGGACATCAGCTCTGTTAACCCTCCCCAAGTCATACCATTAACATTGCATCCTCTCTCCTGTGGGTAAGAAAGCTGAGATGTAGACAAATGAAGTTTGTCATTCAAGGTACAATTGCTAGTACAAGGAAGATCAGGGACACAAGTCCCAGTGTATTGGCAACTAGAGCCTGGCACATACAGTTTTACATGAATGGAAGATAAGCCAGGATATATAAAAGAAAATCAATAGAGTGTTTTAATTCTTTTAAATAACTTTTCAAAAATAAAAATTCTTAAAAAAAATAAACAACAATAAAATTACTTTTTGGGGTGCTGTGCTGCATAACTTGTGGGATCTTATTTCTCCAACCAGGGATTGAACTTGAGCCCTTGGCAGTGAAAGTATGGCGCCCTAATCACTGGGCCAACCAGGGGATTCCCAACAGAGATTACTTTATGCCATATGCTCAAATAAGACCAAATGTTTAGTGGGTCCCCTTCATTATGACGGAAGGGCTTTTCTCAAATGAGGAATACTGTCTGTTCATTGGAGAAATGACTGCAAGTAAGATTTGAAGCAGGAAACACAAATCTAGTGGCCAGTTAGATTACACTAGTAAGTAACTTGGAAAGGTTAAGAGTAATGATGACCACCATGAGAACATGGCCTAATCCAGTGGTTCTCAAAGTGTGGTTCCCTGACCTGAACCATTACTCAGGAACTTGTTAGAGATATAAATTTGGTCCTCCCACCCCAGTCCTAGAGAATCAGAAAATCTGAAGCTAAGGTCCAGCACCTAGAATCTACTTAGAACTGGAATTCTGAGTGATTCTGGTGAATGCATAAGTTAAATATCACCACCCCAACCAAACCAATGGGTTTGATTTTATGGGTTCCAGTTACTTGTTGCCAGAGGGGAGCCTGTAGACAATGTTAGCAAAGTTTTCTGAGTTTGTAAGATATGCCAGAAATATGGAATTTTATGTGATTGTTAAATGTTAGTGACATTTCAGTTAAAAAAAATAAGCAAAATCTATCATAAATAAACATTTTAATAGACCAAAGCTTCCATGGGATGCATGATTTGATTTCTGGTTTAGAACATTTGTTGAAACAAAGAATGCTGACAGCATACTTAGCTTTTAGCAATATTTCTTACACTAGAAAGTACACAAGAAGCAATTGGCTCTTCTAGAGAAAATAAATTGCTGGTTAAACAATTCCTGTCTGTTTTTCCTTGAGAATTATTACAAAAGGACTAGAAATTGGTAATTTAAATAACAAAACTTTTTAAATAGCTAAATATATTTTAAAGTAGTGAATGCACATAATAACATTACAGACAAATACTACTGAGGGTAATACCCTCATGCTACCCTACTTGCAGAATTATTTTACCAGAATTTAGAATTATCTTTATTTTTCTGGTCTAATTTTATAACTTTTCATCCCTTTTAGAAATCTTTTTAGTCTTTTTTTAAAAATCAATTTTGATGTTTTTATTTGAAGTCTTCTTACCAGCAAGATAAGGAAATTCTACTGTTTCCCCCATTTGACATTTCTTTCACCTGCTGATTCTTGTTAGCTTACTATTATATGATAAAAATTTATATGCTTGCATTTAGTTTAGTAATTATAAATTGTTTTCCTAGATTTTCTAGGAAAAGTTGATGATAAGTCAATAAGTACCATTTATAGTATCATGATACAAGCATACTTTGTTTCATTGCTCTTTGCTTTAATGAGCTTCGCAGATACTGTGTTTTTACAAATTGAAGATTTGTGGCAACCCTGCATCTATCAGCACCATTTCTTTCCCAACAGGATTTGGTGATTCTCACAATGTTTCAACCTTTCTCATTATTATTATATTTGTTATGATGACATGTGATCAGTGATGTTTTGATATTACTTTCGCAAAAAGACTGAAATTCTGAAGGCTCAGATCATGGATAGCCTTTTTTTTTTTTTTTTTTTTAGCAATAAAGTATTTTAAGATTATGTATTCTTGTTCAGTTGCTAAGTTGTATATGATTCTTTGTGACCCCATGAACTGCAGCACCTCAGGCTTTTCTGTCCTTCTCCATCTCTCAGAGTTTGCTCAAAACTCATGTCCGTTAAGTCAGTGATGCCATTGAACTATCTCATCCTCTGTCATCCCCTTCTCCTCCTGTCCTCAATCTTTCCCAGCATCAGGTTCTTTTCCAGTGAATCAGCTCTTCCCATCAAGTAGCCAACATATTGGGGCTTCAGCTTCAGCATCAGTCCTTTCAGTGAATATTCAGGGTTGATTTCCTTTAGGATTGACTGGTTTGATCTCCTTGCTGTCCAAGATTATGTGTGTCTGTGTGTATGTGTGTGTCTATATATGTGTATATATATATGTATATATGTATATATACATATACATATAAGATTTGCTGCTTTGCAGATGTTAAGACTACAGTACAGTGTGAACATAACCTTTTATGTGCTTTGGTAAAGCAATAAATTCATGTGACTTGCCTTATTGTGATATTTGATTTATTTCCATGATCCAAGGCCACAATGTCTCTGAAGTATCCTTGTATGCAGATTCACAGCAAAATTTATTACTTCAATTGGACTCAGACTAAAGGAACTAGAACCCCATATATTTAAATATGGGCCCCTTGAAAATGAATATTCATCAAAGACAGGAGATCTCCTTTTTTCTCCTACCATCTTATCTTTTTCTGGACTTGTCACTTGTCAATCATTTTGTAACCCACAGCATCTTCTATCCTAAGTTTCCTTATTATTCTGCTTGAATAGATATTTTATTGCTTTTCTTTTTCCTATAGGGAAATAATTGAAGAGTTTTTTTCAGTCCTTGAATGTAAACAAGAGAACTTTATTTTGCATTAGTCATTAATTGACGGTTTGGTTGGAAATGTAAAAATAGACTCTCAATAATTTTTCCATCACAGTTTTGAAGACACCATTTCATTATCTTCTAGCAGAAAGGATTGCTGATGAGAAGTCTGATGTTAATGTAATTCACATTACTTATTGACTTCCATTCCCTGAAATATTTTAGCATTTCTATGTCCTTTAACCTCTGTCCATCATTCCTCAAAGTTATGGATAGGAGACTGACTGAGAGCTTTGTGTAAAGAGATGATATGTGTCAAAAATCAAGACCTTTAAGGAGGGCAGGGAGGAGGCCAGTTGGCTAGTTATCCCTACAATGTTCTGTATGAGGAGAGCTTTATGTGGGTGGTGGTGGGTTTAATGCCTGGGTTTCTTGGTGTATTTTTCTTCCCTTCTTCCTTATATCTCTTGCGGCAGCTCTATACCTTAAATTTCCCTTTGCATCTCTCTTAGATCCAAAATCTAGGAGTTGTAATGCCACTTTATTTTGAGAGACGTTCTTGAAGTTTTAGTCTCAGCCAAAAGCAATCAGTGTCAGCTATGCTGAATACACAGGCGGTCAAAGAGGGTAAGCGATGCAATTCCCTCCAGTGATCTGAGAGCAGCTGCTAAATTAATTTCTATGGTCTGCTTCTCTCTCCATTTGTTGATTCTGAGATGGGAGCTCCTTCAGGGCTCCCAAGTGACTATTTGCTCTTGCTCCAAATGTTTGAACTGTTTGTTTTTTTTTTTCTTTTCTGATATCTCTGTCCAGGAGGCCTCATCCTCTTTGAATTTTCATGTTTCCGTATCAATCAGCGGCCATTTGTGTTCTGCTTCCAGGAATTCATCATCATTTCTGGGTCACTGATGGGCTCCTTTCTTGTATGTCATGCTCACTTGTAAAATCTGAAGCTGGATTAATCCAGTTCTGCCTGCTATTGGACCAAGATGGACCAGTCCTATTTTTTTTCCCCCATTTATTTTTTTATTAGTTGGAGGCGAATTACTTTACAATATTGTAGTGGTTTTTGTCATACATTGACATGAATCAGCCATGGAGTTACATGTGTTCCCCATCCCGATCCCCCCTCCCGCCTCCCTCTCTACCCGATCCCTCTGGGTCTTCCCAGTGCACCAGGTCCGAGCACTTGTCTCATGCATCCAACCTGGGCTGGTGATCTGTTTCACCCAAGATAATATACATGTTTCAATGCTGTTCTCTTGAAACATCCCACCCTCGCCTGCCATATGACCCAGCAATCCCACTTCTGGGCATACACACCGAGGAAACCAGATCTGAAAGAGACACGTGCACCCCGATGTTCATCGCAGCACTGTTTATCATAGCCAGGACATGGAAGCAACCTAGATGCCCATCAGCAGACGAATGGATAAGGAAGCTGTGGTACATATACACCATGGAATATTACTCAGCCATTAGAAAGACCCAGAGGAATCAGGTGGAGAGGGAGGTGGGAGCGGGGATCAGGATGGGGAATACATGTAAATCCATGGCTGATTCATGTCAATGTATGACAAAACCCACTACAATATTGTAAAGTAATTCGCCTCTAACTAATAAAAATAAATGGAAAAAAAAAAGAAAGAAAATCATACAGTCTTTCAAACCGTGAAAATAAATAAATAAATAAAAAGAATTCATTTAAATCAGTTCTAATGAGATGGATGAAAATGGAGCCCATTATACAGAGTGAAGTAATCCAGAAAGATAAAGACCAATACAGGACCAGTCCTATTTTATAAGAAACTCCCTCGAGAAGCGGCTGCAACGCCGAGCGGAGGAGGCAGGAACCCGAAGGCGAGCAGGAGCTGGGTGGGGACCATGGCCGGGATCACCACCATAGAGGCGGTGAAGCGCAAGATCCAGGTTCTGCAGCAGCCGGCGATGATGCAGAGGAGGGCGGAGCGCCTCCATCGGGAAGTGGATGGGGAAAGGCGGGCCCGAGAACAGGCTGAGGCTGAGGTGGCCTCCTTGAACCGTAGGATCCAGCTGGTTGAAGAGGATCTGGACTGAGCTCAAGAGGCCTTGGCCACTGCCCTGCAAAAGCTGGAGGAAGCTGAGAAAGCTGCTGATGACAGCTAGAGAGGTATGAAGGTTATTGAAAACTGAGCCTTAAAAGATGAAGAAAAAATGGAACTCCAGGAAATCCAACTCAAAGAAGCTAAGGACATTGCAGAAGAGGCGGACAAGAAGTATGAAGAGGTGGCTCCTAAGTTGGTGATTATTGAGGGAGACTTGGAATGCACAGAGGAGCGAGCCGAGCTGGCAGAGTCCCGTTGCCCAGAGACGGGTGAGCAAATCAGACTGATGGACCAGAACCTGAAGTGTCTGAGTGCTGCTGAAGAAAAGGACCCTCAAAAAGAAGACACATATGAGGAAGAGATAAAGATTCTTACCAATAAACTCAAGGAGGCAGAGACACGTGCTGAGTTTGCTGAGAGATCGGTAGCCAAGACAGTTAATGATTTGGAAGATAACCTGAAATTCACCAAAGAGGAGCACCTCTGTACACAAAGGATGCTGGACCAGACTGCTTGACCTGAATGAGATGCAGAACACCCCAGTCCCGCCCTGCCGCTCCTCCTCCCTCTCACCCTGACTCCTCTGAAGCCAGCCTGCCTGAAGCTGACCTTTAAAGTGAGGGCTGATCTTTAAGTGGAAGGCTGCTTTCTCCTTTCGCCACCTCTCCCACGCCCCTACTCCTGTGTCCTCTTCTCCAAACTGTCTCTGCCTCTCCCCAGAGATTCCAGTTGGGCTAGAGGCTGAGCACCTTTGGGAACAACATTTAAGGGGATGTGAGCACAATGCAAAGTGTCTTTAAAAGCATGTTGTGATGTACACATTTTGTAATTACTTTTTTTGTTGTTGATATAACAACCATTGTAAAAAACATTCCAGATAATTCCGCAGTTCTGAAGCAACAGTCTAATCCCTTTCTCACTTTTGGAAGATAACGTTTCAGCTTAATGCATGTTGCCTTCTCCAGAGAGAAAGGGAAAAAGTTTGGGCCTGCCTTACTGAGAGCCTAGCAGCCCAGAGAAAGGCTCCATTTGGGGAAACCTCATTGCTCTGTAAAAAGGACCTGCCAAACCAGAAAGATGATTCCAGGAGGAGTTAGCAAAAAGAAAAAAAAAGTGCTGTTCAGGTTTTCCGCTTTATGGTATCTTTGGACAACTTTTTTTTTTTCTTTTTTCATCAGAAGTGACCAAACAAGATGGTGAAACCTCTGAGACCAAATCCTTGTCCCAGCTCTGCCCTGTTCCCACCTGCTCACAGAATGGATCATGTGCCCTTTATGTTGAAGTGACCACTTATGTGCTTTCCTGCCTCCTTGAAAGGAAAGAAAATTATGTTTTGCCACTGATTTAGCCATATGAAATTCATCTCATCACCCTTTTCTGGGTCTGAAGCTGCTGTCTCTAAAAGTGCCATCTCACTGTGCTTTGTATCGGTTAGTGCTGGAGAAATCTTGAAAAGTTTATGTACAAAACTTTTAAAATTTTATATTATTTTGGAACTCTGCTTCTTTGGGGTTGAGGCATACTAGTCACCCCTCTGCCTGTGAGAGCTCTCTACAGTCTGTGGGCTTGCAGTGTGCGGATCTTTTAAAGTTTCTTTCCCTCCCCAATCCCCCTTTTTTGATGAGGTTTCAGTGAGGTCTGGTAGGTGTGCATCCTGTAGCTTAATTGGCTTAAAATGTTCTCTCCTTTGATGTGGTCTCTTTGGGGACCAACTGGGAGAAAAAAAAACCAATAGTGTAACTGTTTTGATACTGAAAATTGATAAATGTCTTTTTGAAATAAAGAACTAGTCCCTCCAAAAAAACAAAAGAAAGAAACTCCTAAAATTCTTACAATGGCCTCCAAGGCTCTCTCGAGTCTGGGTCCTGAAACTCCTAAAATTCTTACAATGGCCTCCAAGGCTCTCTTGAGTCTGGGTCCTGAAACTCCTAAAATTCTTACAATGGCCTCCAAGGCTCTCTCTAGTCTGGGTCCTGGACACCTCAGTGACTGTCTGCCTTGGTTTTCCTGCTGTCTTGCTTCTGTCACACTGGTCTTCCTGCTTGTTCCTATTTTCAGCATACCCAGTGCACTTATCAAGATGTTCTCATATAGTAAGTCTTCTACATATGAATGAGTTCTGTTCTGAGAGTGTGTTCATAAGTCCAATTTGTTTGCTAGTCCAACAGATTTAGTCTAGGTACCCAACTAACACAATTGTCTATGTAGTACTGTACCATAATAGGTTTATAATACTTTTCACATATATAATGCATTAAAAAACAGAAAAAATAAAATATTTTCAATCTTACAGTACATTCCCTTGAACAGTACAGTAGTAGAGCTGGCATACAGTGGCTGGAATCGAGTGAACAGGCAAGAAGATTTGCTGCCTGGAGGAGGGAGAAGAGGTGGGAGGTGGTAGAACTGAAGGATCATCAGTAATAGGAGACAGAGGGCAAGTTGAAATTTCACTCATGCTTGATATTGATGGAACATATGTTTGCATCTTTGAAAGTTCACAACTTGAAGGTTCGCATGTGGAGGGCTTACTGTAGCTCAGTCCTTTAATCCATCCAGCTCTGTTGCATGTTAGCTCACCAAAGGGTCCTGCTCAGACCATCCCATCAAAAGTAGTTTCTCTATTCCCACAATTCTGTTTTATCTTTCCTGATGATTCTTAGTTCCTGAGAGTAAGTGCTGTGTTATTTGTCTAGCTTGTTCAAACACTCTATGTCTGGAACAGTCATAGGTACATGGAACAGTCCTTGGCATTGGCAGGAAGGTGATAAACACACATTGCATGAATGCATGAAGCAGGAATGCCCATTACAAAAGCTGACATGTGGATATTAAATGTTTGTGTTAAGTCTACTTTCGTCTGTTTCAAGCTAAACAACAACAAGAAGAGTAAAAATTACAATTACTACTGCTGGCAAAGTTGACTTCTTCATTCAAATAAATGGTACAGGAGTAGCTATTACAATAAGTTCAATAATCTTAAGATCTGAAAACATCTATTGACAAATGATAGTACAATGGCTTTTGTCATAGTTTCTGTTTCCATGAAGATGCACAGCTTAGTCATCAAACACTAGGAGGTGACGAGACCATTGCCTTCCTCCCTCCTGTCTGGTTTATTTTCTGTCCCACTTATTATTTATATAGTGTTATCACCGTAACAATCTATGTTATGGTGGAAAGGGAGGAGTTGAAAAGTATGTCCTCTGAACTACTCAATGGAAAGTCATCCTGCTCAAGGGAAGGAACTTCAGACTGGCATGAGAACTAACATTTTAAGTAACCACAGACTGTCACTTGACCTGTCTGAGCATCAGTTTCTCAGTTGTAAGATGACCAATTGGAAAATGAGCAACATTAAGGTCTTCCTTCATGGTAACTCCCTGCAATTCCGTGACTTTAACCATGGCTAGTTTTAAACACATAATCTGCAATCTTTTTCCGTATTCATTTTGTATTCTATCGTAGCAGTCACAGGTAATGAAGAGATATTCTTTAATCAATGATTAACATAAGTACAGCATGAATATAAAATATATATAAGGAAACAGTATGGTTCCCATACAATGCTCTCAGCCTTAGCTATCTAAGATGTAAGATAAAAAAATGGAAAAGTTTATAAAGTAATAGTTAACAGTATGTTAATTAAAGCCACACTAGCTAGGTTAAAATCTGGTTCAGCCACTCTTAATGAATGACTTTGGGCAAGTGATTTAATTTCTCTGTGCTTCCATTGCTTTATCTGTGAAATGCAGATACTTTATAGGTTCTATGAGAAAGAAATTATTTAAGTGAAGTCCTGAGAATATTTCTTAGCATCTGCTGTTGTTGTTCTGTCATTAAGTCATCAATTCTTTGTGCCCTGATGGACCATAGCATGCCAGGCTCCTCCATCTTCCACTATCTCCCAGAGTTTGCTCAAGTTCATATCCACTGAGGCAGTGATGCTATCTAACCATCTCATCCTCTGCCACCCTCTTCTCCTCCTGCTTGCAATCTTTCCTAGCATCAGGGTCTTTTCCAGTGAGTCACCTGCTCACATCAGGTGGCCAAAGTGTTGGAGCTTTAACATCAGTCCTTCCAATGAATATTTAGGGTTTATTTTCTTTAGGATATACTGATTTGATCTCCTTGCAGTCCAAGGGACTCTCAAGAGTCTTCTCAAGCATCACAATTCAAAAGCATCAATAAAGCATCTAGGAAGCTTTAATTAAGTATATTGTACTACAACTATCTATTTTAAAGGATTAATATGTGAATTAAATAGAAAACACATTAATATAACATAATATCTAGCAGAAAGAAATACATTAATCCAACAAATATTTATTGTGGGCTTCCTCTGTGCTGGGCAAGACACTGGGGTTACAGTATTGAAAAGTCTGCGCTCTCCTGGTGTTTGTACCCTACTGGAGACAGAAAATATACACATAATTATATATAATGTTTAAGGTAGTGAAATTTGCTCCAATAAGAATAATTTTAAAAGAGGGAAATCGGGAGTCCTATTTTATCTAAGACTACCAATAAAGTGTTACCTGACTAGATTCATTTTTTTCCCAAGGTAATTTGTATGATAAGTAGAACTTCATAAGTAGAGTGTCAATGCCATTATTATCCTATTTCATTACAATTTATTATGATAAGTAAGAGTTTATATTTGGTATGTGATTACTATTATGCTAATAAAAATTAGAGTAGGGACATATGTACTTTTGACAGTTCATTACTGCAGTTAGAAAACATGCTCTCACTTTAATTATTTTTGCTAAAATACATTGTTATCCAATGAAGCACAGTTAAAAATTACTGATATACAGTTTGACATGTTGTTACTGCTTAATTGCTCAGTCATGTCTGACTCTTTGTGACCCCATGGACAGTAGCCCACTAGGCTCCTCTGCACATGGGATTTTCCAGGCAAGAATCCTGGAGTGGGTGGCTGTTTCCTTCACCAGGGGATCTTCCCCACCCAGTGATTGAAGCCATGTCTCTTGCTTGGCAGGTAGATTCTTTACCACTGAGCCAAGTGGGATATACATCGTACTAATTTTCATGGTTCATAATAATAATGATAGCTTTATTTATATATTTATTTATTTATTTTTGACTGCACTGCAAAGCATGTGGGATCTTAGTTCCCTGACCGCAGATTAAACCCTACCCCTTGCATTGGTAGCATGGCGTCTTAACCACTGGACTACCATGGAAGTCTCCATAATGATCACTTTAGAATGCATATTTAATGTGTGCAAAATATATAAATGCCATAGAACGTTGATTGGAAATTGAAGATTACAGAGATGCCCAAAGTCACACAAGCAACACAGCAACACTCAAGATCATTCTATTTGCTGCATTTGTGGACTTCCATTACCTTTGCCTTCAGATGAGAAAAAAGTAGAACTCATTCTTTCTTGTATTCAGCGTCTCATTTATAATTCAACAGTATTTTCTACCCTAGAGCATCTTACTCCATGGTAGTTTACCTAGTATACAAGGTTAACTTCAATGAGT